CCTCGTAGCTTTCTGTTTGCCAAGTATCAGCAATGAGCGTAAGCAATAAAACAGAATTGCGACTGACCTTAGTATGTAAGATCAGTTCATATTTATATAGCAATTTTCTAAAAACAGAATTCGGGATTGAATGCATTAGGAGCATGATAAGCAAGCAATGGGTCATGATGACATCGAATGTAGTTGTTCTGTCTCTGATAAGTTAGCGCTAAGCAAACTTTCGGCTAATTAATGATTGCCCCTTTCTTTCTCCTTATACGGCACATAATCTATCATTGTTCAAAGAAAGTCAACCTTCGAGAACAAAATTTTTTGCGGTTTGTTAATACAATTGTTCCAGAGACTTGGAGCAACCAATCAAACGTTCATGCAAGAAAAAATTATCTTTTCTTCTAGTGTACAAGTGAATTCAGATAGTGGTCCCTCAATGGGTGAAGAAAAGGAAAAAAGAATTGGTCAGTTTCAATTATTGATTACTAAATAAAAGCATTTGTATCTACTATTGAATTGAGTCAATCGGATAGCAATCAGAGCTCAACAGCCAGCAGCTAAAATTGGAGGCCGGCCGATTGATGGCTGGCCTTTTGTATCTCCACAAATGAGCTCGAGGGCATTCACTGCTTATTTCTAGGGCCCTACCTCCACTCAAAGATAAAATCAAAACAGCTATCAACGACGAATGAAAACTATCTTCACTTTTCATTCATAGAATCCATGATACGGAATGCACGGCTTCATGAAACGATTCTGAACTCTCAAGATCTAGAGTCATGATTATTTCAATTCCCTATTAGTTCTATTCATATTAAATAATCTCAGATTACCTAAAATAAATCTAATGAATCAATCAGGCCAAGAATCAAATAAGGAATATCATGAAATCAAATTCTGATGCTATTTCATCAATGGTCTATCCGCTGGTGATGAGTAAAATAAGCTCGGATTTTAGGTTGGGTGCATTCTGCTCTGAAAATTGCATAATTATCTATATATAAGAACGGAATTGTAGAAAATTAAGTCTCTTTCCAAATATATCGCAGATTTCCTGCCGTATTTCAGCTTATTGTCCCTAGAGTTGTATCTTGAATGGTGGGGTCCTCAATATCATCTTGAGCCGTTTATCACTGAAGCTTTTACTGGAGGTTATCTTGTCTAATCTGTGTTCACACTTGTTTACTCAATCCTAATAAAAGATTTAGAAATGATTCAAACCAGGGTGTTTCTAAAATTATGATCATTGGCTGATAGTAAGGATGTTTTTAGAATCAAATTTTCAGAATATTCTTCTTCAGAAAAGTCCTCTGGAGTTAGCACAGGGCAAGGATATATTTTTGTGAAGAAGTTTAAGGATATCGGGTAAATCTTAGATAAACCACACCATCAGAATAATTTTAGATTTCGATTTATCCAATAATATTTTGAAAACTCAAAGCAGCTTGGAGTTTTTAATTATAGGATTTTGTTAAAAGAAAATGCTTAAGTTGCTAGCGCGTATATCTTGCTCTAATATCCTTTTTGGAAGTTGGTGAAAAGCTGCAAATTTTGAATAACTGCCTTGTATTACCAATGATCAATGATTGGTCGGGTCTTCCATAGTTCATATTAATAGCTTCAAAAGGATCCTCCTTCATTAGACAACATTTGCTCTTACCAAATAGCTATGTCCTCAACATCCTAAGGGGGATAATTAACAAGACAACAATCCCATGAAGGAAATACTTGTTATTATTGTTTTGCATATTCAGCCTTATGCCCTGAAATAAATGGGATCCTCCTTCGCAGCCTCCATTCCTGTTTACTCTATCTCTTCTTGAGGGTTTGAAAGAAGATAAAATCCGAAACTCTTTCATGATGGCAATCACTTCAGCCTTCCACTTTCAGGTCTGTAGTCGTAAAAGAAATTCGAAGTAAACCTCATACCAATAGGATATTCACCCTCGTCTTGACTCGATCAGCTTTATACCTTTGAAAGATAAATTCCTCCCTAGATGATCTCTATACCAATCTACTTAGTCTCATCTCGAGAGTCCGAAAATAACTAAAAGTAAGATTCCCAATGAAATAATATTCATTTTTATTTTACATCATCAGCTTTATATCTCTAAAGATAATTTCCTTCCAGAATAATTTCCATTCTTATCTATCAGATATCTACTTCGAGAGCTTGAACGGGTTTGAATGTAAATTTCTAGAAAAGATCGGTGTTTTATGAGCCAGCTTCGAGCCTCGAAAGAAAGTTTGCTTCCAAAATAATCTGCACACTCACTTGGTGGGGCTCTTCCCGGAAAATATGAAGATTGAATTGTATGACTCTGAAGGCAACATCCTCCACTATCGGCAGTTTGATACTGAGTCACAATTTTTAAAGTATGTATTTTGAACAAATAAATGTATCTATTGGCCTTACAGCCTTCTTGATACTTCATCAATACTGACCTAATTCTAGCATTTACGCTTCTTAAAATCTCCAACTTTTACATCTTACCATTTATTTAACAAATGATTGTCCCAAGTCCGCTTTTCCATCTTCATTTAAACTAAAAAAAAGGTGCCCAAGTCAGGTATCTTTCCTTCATCCAAGTACAATTCATTTAATAGTGTGAACCCTCACTTACTTTCTTTCTAACACTAATATCTTTACTCCTTTTCCATTCCATTTATCAAATTCATTTTTTGCTCCTTATTATTTCGAATTATAAATTTCTGTATTGGTGACAGTCTCACTCGAAAAGACTCATTCAATGCGCTATTCTCTCCAATTTTGATCATATTGACATCAGATATAACAATGAAATAGGCATTTTCGGATAGATTTCCGATGACATTTTAACAAAACATTCATCTAAATAGTAAAAGCTTGGTGACTGCAAACTTCTACAGACTCCATCAAACACGGGAGACACAAGCACCCAGATCATCACATTCCTCGAATACCCTTCTCAATCATCAAAACTTACGCACAAAGAAACCCTTTAAAGCTCCATATTCCCAACAGATTAAAATCTCGACAGCTCCTTCTCTATCCAGAGTTTCAATGACGGAAGAACAGCTATTCTACCTTAAATCCCCGCTTTAATACCCCTCATCCCGCGATATCAGAAGGAAAAATCAGAGAGATCTACAAGAAACCCTCAACAATAGGCCCCGTGATCTTCACTATTATCATTTATCTTCTTTCAATTCACCTCGTTATCGCTCCGGTGTCGCCCACCCTTTGAAGGACTTGGCCATAAAGTAATACCTGCGGGGCTGCTTCTTGCTTCCAAGGAAACCTCACAAACAACGGTCTATATCCCATCAAAATCCCAAAGCATCACCCCACAAGAACTCCAACTAATTTGCTTGTCGCCACTGCTTTGGCAAGAGACGACTTCACAAATACTGAGCTAATTGCCCCGTCCTCTCGCAGATTAGGTTGTCCGGTCGCATACTCTCTCGCTCATCATCAAAGAACCCAGATATTCTCTTCAAAGGTATCCTAATCCTCATCCTCCTTCTCCGACCCCTTCTTCTTTCCCATTATGCCGAGCCACCCCCAAGATACTACACAAGTAGACTATAGCACTTCTAATACAGTCGAATCTAGAAGCCAAGCAAAGATTTAACAGTATATAACGATTTCCGCACCATTAGGTATCAACACCGTTGATATATCAAGGCACTAGAATACGTCAAACACTTCTTTGGTCATATTGATTCCCGACTTGCTTTTTGAAACTCTCAAGATCCAACAGAAATATTATGATCTCTGGTACTTCTTGCAAAATATATTCAAGCACCCATACCGAGGTTTAACGGCACTTAACAGTATCAGCATACTCTCCAAGAATCACTATTGATCCTTTGAAGCTCTTGCATCCCAAGGTACGTCTTTGCATCGCCGATCCGTGTCCCACTATCTCTTTTCCCTCTCCATCACAACATTGATCTAAATATGACCGTCAAAACAGGTCATACAGATCGATTCTCCGCGCAAGAACGACCCATAACCCTGCCGATAACGCTCGCTCCTCACTAGAGCCAGTAACAGGCATATAAATCAGGCGATTTGACTGGCTATAACTTATAACTTTTACCTACTATTTGACAAGACTACTCCCATTCACTCACCTCAAATCGTACCCCTTCACCACGCTAACACGCTGAACTTTCCACAAAAACCTCGAACTTCAGCCTAAGCCTTTATCTTTATCTTTTCAACTTCCTTAACTTCTTCAACTAAGATCACGATAGTGAGATCAACAGCACGTACAACATACACAGTAACAACATAATACCCATCCATACCCCTTCAAACAACCAATCGCACAAACCCTTTCCAAGCTCCACATCACAAACATCACCAGCTCTCGATATTTACACAACCATCACGCTCAAACACCCCCAACTGCCCATCATGTGCGTCAAGAAGTTCTGGGCTACACCTGCGACCACTGCAGTCCTTCCAACATCGTCAAATGCCCAACAACTCCAAAACGAGAATTTTCCTCCCTGTTCCATCATGGCCGAACAGCCGGTCTTTGCCAATCAGTTCTGTCACGGCTGCATGCGGGTAAGTTGGAATATGCAGGTTATAGCTGAGGAGAATGCTCATAGGGAAAGACATGAGCGTGGAGAATGTAGCTGTGAGGTTATTTTTGATAGGGCGGAGAGGGAACGTAGAGAGAAGGAGAGAGACTTGAGACAAGAGGGTAGGGAGAGAGTTAGGAGGGAGAACGGAGGGAGGGAGGTTCAGAAGGAAAGGGAGAGAGGGGTAAGGGCTTTGAGGGAGGATGGTGAGGAATTGGAGACTAGGGAGTTGAGGAGGGAGGTTGAGAGGAGTGAGAGTAGAAGAGACGGGAATGCACGGGTTGGAACGAACGGTAGAGGAAGAGGCCGGGATACTGTAACAGAAAAGGTCAACAATATGAACAACGGCGAAGGACGAAATGGAAGAATGGAAGAAAGCCGCGACGATACGGGCATGATGCGAGGATCCCATGGTGACTTCACAATGGGCGCTGCTTCATCAGAATATTCCGATCCCCGCCCTAGTGATCCCGCCTCCTTGCACCAATATTTTCACGTTGCTAACCAAATGGGCAACATTGGACACGGCTACATGAACCTCATGACAGGCGTCACAGACGGAATACCCATTTCAAACCCACCACTTATGACAGATTTATCCCCAATGCACGGAAACATGATGATTATTCCTCCTTCTCCAAGAATGAACAACATGGGTGAGTATCCAACAAATCATCCCATCCACGGTAGTCAGAGAATTGACAATCATTCACTTCATCCCTATGGAATGATTCATACACCGCCGCCACCTGCACCCACAGGTTCTCCAAGCTATCAAAGTCCTGCTATGGCACCTTCTAATTACAGCGATGGCAATAATAGTAGCGCCACTCGCGGTAACCAGTATTCTTGGGGTGCCAATTCCGAGCCCAACGCACTCGCTGGTAACATGGATCATCGATCATACAATCAAACAGTTCAAACAAGAATTCAGTATCCGACTACCCCAGAATTTGCAGAACCAATACCCTATCCACAGCACCAAAACATCGATTTCAACGCTCAGCGAAACGCCTATAACTATGTAGGTTACCGTATGGACCGACCCAATGGCATTACCAATGGCTCTCCCCAAGCCCGCGCTCAAGGTCCTGGCTCCGTCTCAATGACCGATCATCAAACAATGGGAACTTTCATCCGTGCACCTACATTCTCACCACTTCCAGGTGGAGCACCCGGTGCAGGAATGGTTTGGCACGCCTCGCACAATAATTTACCACCACTTCCACCGCAGATTCCATATCTAGGGGACTCGATTCTAGTGCCTCCAACCGTTCCAACCGCTCCGAGATATTTCAATGAGACACCTCCTGCTTCTAGACGCCATATGCGAAATGGAAATACTCAACGCAACGCGGTCCAACGATCGAGGACTAGCCAATCGATTGGCCAAATTCAAATGGATGCGGCAACTACTGCCGAAGGTCCAACCCGAACTGATTTCCACAGGCAAGCAACTTCTCAAGGCCAGGCTCGAATGCCTTCTGAGATCACGCCCGCAACCATGAACATTTCCCTTTTACGTACACCAAGGGTCATCAGTAGTGTGCCGCGACCAAACTCAGCAATGTGAAGGAATCAAGCATTAACGGGCAATTTCAGGTAAGTACTCGAGCAATAAGGATATTTTTTGAACAGGTCATTTGTATCGTGAAAGGCTGGAAACTATACTAACTCAGCCTTTCACTTAGAATTTGTACATTGAGAACAAAGGAGAAAATTTGCGCCGGAATTGCTTAAAGCAACTGTACCATCACCAGCATCTAATTTTCCTTCCTCACTTTCCTTTCTACTGGAACTCCGACTACCTATCAACTTCTCCGAAGACTGCGAGTATGTTAGCATGGATCTACAAGCGAAGCGACAAATGTTTTCATAGCAACTTACCCAAATCCATAGTACCAATGATAGCAACCGCATCAGCAAGCAAATGTCCTCTCGAAATCTGATCGAATCCACTTAAGTGGGCGAAACCTGGCGCGCGGATCTTGCATCGGTATGGTCTTTCACTTCCGTCACTTACAACGTACACACCCATTTCACCCTTTGGCGCTTCAATCGCGGAATAAGTTTCTCCGGGTGGAACAGTGTATCCCTTGGTGAATAACAAAAAGTGGTGGATGAGTGCTTCCATATTCTCCTTCATGGCAGCACGAGGTGGCGGCGAGATCTTGTAATCTTCTACTCGGACTGGTCCAGGTGGCATCTTATTCAGACATTGATGAATAATTCGCAGGGATTGTCTAAATTCCTCCATTCTGCAGAGGTATCGATCGTAGCAATCACCGTTGACACCGACTGGTACATCGAACTCTACTTCGCCATATGCATCATATGGTTGACTCTTACGGACATCCCATGGGACACCACTTCCTCGAAGCATGACACCAGTAAAGCCTAAGTTCAAAGCATCAGCGGCTGAAACAACACCAACTCCTTTCGTTCTTCCAATCCAAATTCTATTATCGGTAAGTAGTTCTTCCGTTTCGTCAATACGATCACCGAACTGAGTGGCCCATTGATAGATGTCATCAAGGAGTCCGACTGGGATATCTTGATGGACTCCACCTGGACGAACATATGCAGCGTGCAAGCGGGCTCCCGAAACTCGTTCATAGAATTCCTACGGTGGATATTAGCATCGTCACATTTTTTAAATAGTCAAAAGTCATAATAACAAAAATTCCTTACCATAAGCTTCTCACGTTCCTCAAAACCCCACAAGAAAGGTGTGAGAGCACCAACATCCATTGCGTGAGACAAAACCGACATGAGATGATTCAAAATTCTAGTAATTTCACCAAAAAGCGTTCGGATCCATTTCGCTCTCTCAGGAATCTCAACATTTAACAACTTCTCAACAGCCAAAGAGAAACATTGCTCATTGGTCATCATAGAAACGTAATCCAATCGATCAAAGTATGGTAAGGCCTGGATATATGTCTTGTATTCGATCAACTTCTCGGTTCCACGATGCAGTAAACCGACATGAGGATCTGACCGCACGATTTCCTCTCCATTGAGCTCCAAAATTAAACGCAACACACCGTGAGCTGCCGGATGTTGAGGACCAAAGTTCACTGTATAATGGCGAATCTTCCTTTTCTCCACATGCTCGCCTTCCTGCAGATTCTCATGAGCTAAGCTTGTATTATCATAAGTATTGGCAATTCCGAAGTGTTCATCGGTAGGAACTAATTTTGTACCCTCATATGGCTCTGCGTATCTGCGTGCTGGGAGTGCTGAGAATGCTCTGATTGAGGCTCTTGAGGTTGAGGGACGAAGGGTAGTGGTGGGTCGCAACGAGCATTTGGCAGCTGTGCGCCCGGCCTGCCGAAATAGTGATGCAGCCATTGTGAACAAAACTGGAGAGATACTGGAGATATTTACCAGACCTCAATGCTTTGAGAGACAATGAGACTGTGAAGTGGAGAGTGAAACCGTTTTAACGTTCGCCTCTTTTGGTTATCAACAGAGTAGATGATGTTCATGACTTCTTGAGCTCGGATCTTTTGTTTAGCTTTGCTTATTTGAGACTCTTTGATTGGTGGTTACTCATCGCATGGGTCGGCACCGGTTGATCTTGACGCCGATATCAAAATTTATTTTTTTGTATCTTCAGAATCTTTGCGACAGAGAGTGAAAGACCCAAGACCCCGCCATTGAATATTTTTGGTTTTTAGAAATTATACACAATGGCACCAAGATATACTAAGGCTGATGTCCCTCCACCTAAAGCTTTCTCTGAGGAGGAGGTAGCAGCCAGAAAGGTACTAATTCTTTTAATGTTTACTGATTTTCATCTCTAATTTCTTCATAGATAGTAGGAGTAAACACCGAAACTGTTACGAACATCACATCCACAGATTTCCCAAACCATTGGCCTAATGAAGATCATTCTTGGGATAAAGAGAAATTCCGTGAGAATCTCCAAATAGTATTTCACCAAAACGAACCACTTCTCTCTTCATTTTCCCTAGTCGGCATCGATGCATCTGTAGCCAATGCCTTCCGTCGAATCCTCATTGCCGAAATACCTACTCTTGCTATAGAATACTGTTTCGTAAAAAACAACACATCCGTCATCCAAGATGAAGTTCTCTGCGGTCGTCTCGGTCTCGTGCCATTCAAGGGAGGAAAAGAAGGACTTTTAGATTTCATGAAATGGTTCCAAAAACCTGAGGAAGAAACGCCCGAAGAAGAACGTCACCTCGGCTCCTTTGACCACAATACCATTCAATTGTCTCTAAAAATTGAATGTACACGCAACAAGGAAGCTGCTCCTGGTGAAGCTGACCCAAGAAAAATATACCACAATGCACATGTATACGCGAAGGATATCGAATTCAAGCCTTTCGGTCGACAACTCGAGTATTTCAGCGGCGAAAACGCTATCAGGAGTCCCAATCCAGATATTTTGATTGCGAAGATGAGACCAGGTCAAGTAATTGATATTGACATGCATGCGATTAAAGGAATTGGAAGAGATCATGCCAAATTCTCGCCGGTAGCTACAGCTTCGTATCGATTATTGCCAGTAATCAATATTACCCAACCAATTTTGGGTAAAGATGCAGAAAAATTCAAAAAATGTTTCCCGCCAGGGGTTATTGGGATTGAGAAAGTCACAGCAAAGGAGGCCAAGATCAAGGGAAGCGGATATGAAGGACATGAAGGAGAGAAGAAGGCAGTCGTTGTAGATGCCATGAGAGATACTGTCAGCAGAGAATGTTTAAGACACGAGGAATTCCAAGGCAAGGTCAAATTAGGAAGAGTTAGGGATCATTTCATTTTCTCGATCGAGAGTCTGGGACAATGGGATAGCGATGAGCTGTTCTTGGAGTCCATCAAGACACTGAGAACAAAGTGTGAAGCTTTCAAGACGAGTTTGCAGAATATGACGAAGTAATTAAAGAGATATAGGGGGGCGATTTTGTCACTAGCATTGCCGGAGTTTGGGAAATATGGCGTTGGTCGGTCCACTCGCGGATAAACAGGTATCTCGGCTCTAGAAAGTCTATTATAACCAAAAAATCGACGCTACTTATATGATATCATTTCTCATAATCCAGTTATGGGTAGCTATGAAAACTATGCGAACTCCTTTTACCATGACCCCGCTAATTCTACCTCATTTTGCTCATCATTCGTTCGTCGTTATTCCTATTTTACCCACCTAATCTGATCCATTCTCTTTCCTGGCAACTTTTTCAAATGGCTTTGAGAAGTTTAATCTGTATTTGAACATCACTGAACCTAATGATGGATCCGTCACGGCAATCTCATCTCCATCTCCAGTCATCTCCCCCATCTTCCTCGTTAAATTATGCTCGGTCTTCACACGCAAGCTCTCTGGGCTCTGCATGTACAGAGATTTGTTGTCTGCCGAACGAATTGAAGGTTTTTTGAGTTGGGCTTCTGGTCTGTGAGCAAGAGAATCGATGAACTCTTGGAGAGTCAAATTTGGATCGATGCTCAAATCCCTCGCCAAATTCCCGCACACAGGGCAATCGTCTTTTTTCTCGTGTTTAAAAGTGTATGTGTAAATACTGTCGTTTCCACTGTACATCATATAGTTTTCTTCCATTCCCAGAGCAGGATTGGTGCTGCTTGCGATCTTGAAGGCCTCGTTACAACAGCTGGCTGCAATAATAGCATTGGTCGAAGCAATTGCCGGGATAATATTTTTGACAACACCTTGAGTCAGAGAATAAGTAACACCTGGGATGTTAAACTCTTGAGCTCTCGTCAAAGCCTTTTTATAGAGCCAGGTAATATGCTCAGGATCATCATTATCTAGCTTTGGAAATGGCTTCTCTTGTTCCCATGCCATGATATGCGCCCATTCGATGCAATGCTCCGGTTGGCGGGGAATAGTCGCGAGAGTACAGAGAGGAACTGCGGCTCTTGGCGCATGCATGTCTAGTTGACATTCAATACATGAGGTCATTGTTGGAAGAATGACACGGGATTGGCCTTTGAACCCTAATAATACCATCAGAATCTTTGCTTGGAGTGGCTGGAATGTCTCCAATACCTTCGGTGCCTCCATCTATCAATGGCTTCAAACTCTCCGGATTGTCCATATCCACCATTTCTACCAAAGTAGAATTGATCCATCGCCGAGCTTCAATACTATCCAGACCACATACTACAATACTGAACTGCATATAGAATGCCTCATCCTTGTCTTGAATCTTGCAATTGTGCGGTACGATTGTGACGCCCTTTACTCGTTTCTCCACAAATTTGGCTGCAACTTCGGCTTTGGATTTGCCAACATCGCTATGGCGGAACAGAAATTGTCGATTTAAATTCGAGACATCGATTGTATCTACAAGAGCTTAGCCTGAGTGCTCCAGGGGATGTGATGAACAAATAAATACCCATATCAATCACATGTATCGTCTTGAATCCTGATAGTGCCAAATTCTTCAAGATTTCGCAACCCAACCCTCCTGCGCCTCTATTTCTTATTAGCACTCTGAGCTCCAGTTTGGCAAATTTCCTAGGCAACCAACATTACCCTAAAAACGTGTCAGTAACTGTTTTTATCTCTCTCCTTAAAATATCCAAACTTACAAGATCTTCAAGCCGTCGAGAAATGCAGTTGCCTCCTCACTGCCATTGAAATCCTCGTCAGTGAATGGCCCAGGAGTTCGACGGATATTGTCTAGATAAGTCCTTTAGAAAGTTAGCTTTGTGGTAGATAAGTCGAGATAGTAGCCTTACCATCGCGAGAGCGGCGGAGTCGACATAAATGGAGCACTTGAAAATGCAGTAGCCTCCCCAGTCATTTTCGCCGTTTAAGGAGCTTGCTGTTGAGAAGAAGACTTCGAGCTGCTAGAATGGTACTGCTTATCGAGGTGCATGGGCTCCTAAGCGCTATCACAGACGCGCTAGCCGCGACCGCCCGCATTGCGGGTTATACTGTATAAGACGATTGACAAGACCAATGCGGAACCCAAAAGTTCTTGGATCTAAAAAAATTTATACAGAGTCCTTTCTTGGGCCAAATTTGATGTAGCTATGGATGGTTTACTCACGCCTGTGAGTATTGTTTACAAAAAGCAAGAGCAACACCGTGAAAATGCTCTCGTTGAAATTTCTACTTCATCGTCATTGATCCAGCCGGCAGATGAGTCTCATTCAAATCCTATACACATATCAAGTACTAGCGAAGCATTGGAGACTTTAAAAAATCAACCCAGTTTTGATGATTTGAAGTCGGTCCTGGAATTTCTCGAAAAAGAAACAACTTTTAGTATTACTTCCCCAGGTCCTTTAGCTGCTCAACTTGTGCATGTTCTGGTGTCTGAAGTCATACCAAACTACTGGACTATTCTCCATGAATCAAATGGCAAGTCCAGAAAAAAGAAGCAGTCTCAGATCCTCAAATTACTGTTGAATTCCATTCGAAGTGTAACAGGTATAAATGCAATACTACTAAATTTAAAACGACTCACGCAGCAGTCCAAGGAGACCAAGAAAAATATAGGTGAGCTATCTAAAATTTGGATTTAGAGAAAGTTTACATCTGATAGCCTAACGATTTATAGGTTCAAGCATTGAAGAAAGCCTCAAAGTTCAGTTGCAACTTTGCGTCGAGGTTCTAGAAGGCGAAAACACCATTCAACAGCTCTGGAACACCATTACTAATTCATCCGATGTCACCGCAAAGCAGAGGGCTCTTTTCAATGAACTTTTGTCTTTGATAGGAAGTGGCAAGATTGTTGGAGTCACGGCAGAGGCCGAGACAATCTCTAATGAACTCAGTAAAGAATCAAATGATAAGTTCTGGGTTGCCGACGGATCCTCCTACAGCCGATGGCTGGGTCAAAACATCATATTCTGGTTGAAGTCTCTTCCAAGAGATGCCGAGCAGACGTGGAAAAGTTGCAGTGAAGTCTTCGGGAAGTGCATTAGGCTTGGTCATATTGGTAAGACTTCATGTTGTATTACGTGGATTTATTGCTCATTGATATCCAGATAATATTGCCAAAGATATTTTAAGTTCTCTGCTTCTACAAAAGGAGGAAGATGCAGCGAAATTCATGAAGCTTTATGGCTACCTTCCGAGCTTTGAACAACGGAATTTACTACATACATTTTTAAATATACTGTCACGGGATCACTTATCATTAGATATCACATCTGAGGATGATGATAAGTGGTGGCAAGCAAATACAAGCATCGTATCAGCTGCAGCCAAGCTCATCAACATGATAATTTCTGAGAATGAGCCACGGAAGGATCATCTCATAGCTTGGTTGACAAACTCTTCGGGAGCTGGTATAGGAGAAGGTATAGCAGTTCGACGTGCGGCAATTGTGTCACTCTCAAAAAATAAAAAGGACATGGAAACCATATTGGAAAAGAGTTTAAGTCAATTTGGTGATACTTTGTACATTAGACATGCCCCTACCTTACAACAAGAAGGTATGAAACATCAACAATCAAATGCTATTCTGTTACTGACACGATTCTAAGTACATGCTCAAGTCCTTCTCCTATCTGCTGGATATGTTTGTAGAATGTCACCTCTCCGGCTTAGGATGATCACAAGATCAGGTCCTCATCTTAGTGTAGTTTCGAATAGATTAGCTGCGACCTCACCCCGAGCACGCTTCTTAGGTATGGTCATCGGGGAAGCTTTGTCTAGTTTGGTCGACAAGGGTGATAAGGTTATGGACTTTGAAATCGACGATACTAAAACACCCGAAGCAAAATGGTATAAGAGCTTGGTCAATGTATCAGACACAATTGGCAATCTCGAGCCTCTAAAGTCAAAATACGTTCCACAGACGTCAAAACCCACGAAAGCTACAAAGAGCAAACCCGCGTCGAAGCCGAACCCTCTTAAAGGAAATTCTAAAATAATCGCCATCGAAGAAATTGAAGACGATGATGAAGTAGAATCTTCCGATAATGGCCTCACTCCTTATGCTAAACCTGATTCCGATATTGAAGACTCAGATGAAGATCCAACACTAATCATAAGGAACAAACCAACGGCACCTGTCTATATCCGTGATCTCATCACCTACTTACGAGATACCGAAAACTACGATCGTCAAAAACTAGCACTTTCCACTGCCGCTTCCTTAATACGGCGAAAAGCCAACTTCGGCACAGAGGTCAGTTCTCACGCGGAGGAGATCGCAACCCTTCTAGTTGGCCTACAAGACAAATACGACATTGAGAACTTTCAAGAGATGCGCTCTCAAGCTATGATCGCTATTCTCATCGCATTACCCGAGAAAATGGGTCAATGGTTTTCAAAAACGTTTTTCGATGGTGATTACTCTTTATCACAGCGCGCGGCTGTCCTCACCACTCTCGGTCTGGGAGCTCGAGAACTGGGCGGTCATGGTTCCGAAGATAAATCTCTCATCGATACCACCGGCCCATCTTCATCATCTTCCTCCTTTCCGTCCAAAAAGCTGCCAGAAGCAATGCACAAATACTACTCTCCGTCCCCTTCAAAACCAACTCTTACCGCAACATCCAACCCCGTTGAAGCTCTAACCACCAACCTTCAAAAGACCTTTCTCGCGCCTCTCGCTGCCCAGACAGCGGACAATCTTACCGGGCCCAATATCCTCAAAGTCCGCACCTTTTCCTCCCGCCTCGCAGTCGAGAAAAATCGCAAAAAACCTATCTCCAACGCCTTCGCCAAGATCGTTTCCACATCCTTTTTCTTTCCCCTCACCGGCCGTTTCTTCATCCATCTCAAAGCCTACGGTTCAAACTCCTCTTCAAATATAGCATTTCAACCCTATCTCCTAAGTCTCTTCCTCAAAACCCTCAGTATAATCCTTCATTCATCAGGTCAATCAACACTAAGTCTCCCACAAATGACGAGCGAATTCTGGGATCTTTGTCTTAGCTTGCGTACACAGGCCATTTCGGATGTAGTGGTACAAGAAGCATTATTGTTTTCTTTCATGACGATATTGGAGATTAATGAGGGGGATCTTAGGGGACTAGCGGAAAGACATGGAAGGGAATTATTGGAGACGAGGGAATGGGTTGATGGGGTTTTTAGGGGCATTGCGCCGGGAAGTGAGGAGGATGAGAGGAGGAGGTTGTTGGCGGCGGGAGTGCTGGTTAGGATTGGGGAGTGTGTGGAGAAGTGGCAGAGGCTTATGGTGGGTGATGTGGTGGGGTTTACGTAGATGGGTTGTTTAAGTATAAGTTAAACGAGGATCGGGTTACGTAGATGAGAGATTTTGAGTGCTGATTTCTTGTTACTCAAAATGCGTGAGCTAGCTCCGAGATAGTTCCAGATAGTCAAATATATCACATCATATGGTTTTTATGAATACAAACCCGCTTTCTATCATATTCAGAATCCTTGTTAAACTCCATCTGAGTAGTAAAAGTTTAAATGTGATCTCAGCCCGAAAAGCCTATCTCATCGCTAGAGTTTCTGACATGGATACTGGTACTCCTTGAACATCTCCCTCTTTTCCTGTAATTTTTCCAAGGGGGGAAGAGTTGTGATGAAGAAGAAAGAAAAAGAAGGTAACTGATAATAATAAAGGGTTTATGTTGATTGTATGAGGCGAAAATGTGCGATAAGGAGAAGGGAGGGAATAATTATTTGATATGTGATGCGTAGAGTGAAAATGAACATTGAACAAACAGCTGTTAAAATGGAACAGAGTAATTTTTTAAAAGTATCATATTTGGTGATCTATCCTGTGTAAGTGGAAGATATATATATATGTTCTTATCATGTCTGCCTAGTAGACTATCTCTAATCCTCCTCTTGAACTTTTCGGAAAACATATAGAAACCTCATACCATCACAACCATACCATAACCATAACCACAACAACCCCTCTCTCAAAGATTCGCCCTCCCACCACGCATCTCCATAATCTTCCTCGCCTCCTGCAACTGCAATCCCAAATCCTCATCCCAAATCCACCTAGTCCTTTCCCTCAACTTCTCCTTCATACCCTCAATATCCACAATTCCCTCTGCAGCCCGCACCACCTCCTCATTCTCAAACTCATAAAGTTCCGCCGCCTCCCTACTCGTCTTTACAATCTTCTGACTTCTTGGTCTCCTAACCATATCATACGCTCTAAACGCGTTCTCAATATCTCTCAGGTTCCTACAATCCCCTAATAAATTACTCAAAATAAATGCATCTTCGATAGCTTGTCCAGCACCAGCTCCTTGATGAGGCGTACTAGCATGAGCTGCGTCGCCGAGGAGGACAAGTCTGCCTTTATAGTATGTGGGAGCGGGGAGATGATCAAAGATAGCCCAGACGTCGGGTTTTTCCATAAGTGATAGGATGTGTTTTACATCTTTGCCCCAGCCTTGGAAATCGGAAAACATGTCTGATTCTTTCATTGGGAGAACCCAGTTCTCGTTATTCCATTTTTTGTCTTTCTTGGTGCGGAATGCTACGACGTTCATTGTGGCTCCTTTTTCGATGGGGAATGTTAGGACCTTGAGGATATGTTAGTGGAATTTGAGGTAGCTGGGAAGGATGCTTACATGGCCCTGGTGACCTAGGTACATTTGGCTATCTTTAGCTAACGATTCGCCAACTGCTTCAATTGCCTTTTCCATAGGAATTAATCCCCTATAGGCATATTTTCCACTGAACACCGGTAAAGTAGCCTCGTGATCATCACCGAGAACTACATGTCTAGTTCTCGATTTAATACCATCACAACCAATCACGGCATCGGCCTCCGCCGTCGTCCCATCCTCAAAAGTCATTAATAATCTATCACCACTCTCTTCTACCTTCTCAACTCTCTTCCCAAATTGGGCGTTCTCCTCTGGAACCAATTTGACTAATTCATCGAGGAAATGCGCTCGATGAACTGAAGCTTGTCCACAACCTTTCGCCACGACTTCAGTGAGAAATTCTCCTTCTTTAACCGGCGGTCCTTTTTTAAAACCTTTCCAACCTTCCTCGGCCATACCTATCCTAAAATCAAACCAAATGTCTCTTTCTTCTGGAGAACCATTTCTTGTTTCGCAATTCTGGAACCCGTGTTTAATACGTGGATCTATTAATTCCATTGCCCGAACAGAGTTGGGTCCAAAAGATACTCCTGCACCCTATTAAATATGAGCTTTGAGGTAGGTCAAGCAGGAATGATATGATCATACAATTTCTGCAAATGCAGGTGCGGCTTCATATACTGTGAATGGGATATTTTGCCTCAAGAGACCAATTGCCATACATAAGCCACCGATACCTCCGCCTAGAATGATGTTAGGTAGGGTTTATATTGTGTTTTGAATTCAGCCTACCACAAATGGCGACGTGGAAGGGTTTTTTGGGTTGTGTGGATGTTGACATTATAGATTACTTTTGGGCGGACTCTGGTTGGAGGTTTTTTGGAGGGGTATTGCAATTGAAGAAAATATAAGTATGATACAAGAGAAGACTTAGAAGCTGGAATGAGATAGCAAAAGAAAGCACCCTTCAGAGAGAAGTTGAAGTATATATAGTGTGAACAAATGAATCTACCTGAGAGTATAATTACCTAGTATGTAACACATGAGACCTACCACCAACCAGTATGTATGACGTCAAATGATTTGACGAAGATATCGGGAGTGACGCTTGTCAAACTCCCCGCAGTAGCTCATTTATCTTACCCAACTACCAAATAGTCTGGAAATCATACACCACTATTAAGTCCCAATAGGGCTTCGGCATCAAATATCGGCATCAGTTTTCTGGTAACATGTTGCATCTTAGGGGTCGAGACTTTGTCGAGACCGGGGAGATAAGACTGTCCGGCAAGTCAAATCCGTGGAAGCGAAGGCTCCTGCAGATGTATGGGTGAGGGGTTTCTGCATGTCACGTGGATAGGCGTCGCAGAGGAACGCGTCTTAATGATTCGCGAAGCCCTTATCGTTATCGCCCCTTCTGGTCGCCATCTACATCCATCTATCCAAAGCTAGATCTTTCATAATATCCTCCTCAAATGTACATAAGAGGACATAATCTGCTAGCTCACAGTAATCCCATCCAATTCCTCAAATAATTATTCATCATGCCCTTAGGTTGGGAAAGAATCAACGCCAAACGGACACAACCAAATAACAATATCGTCTTCATCAAACCCCTCTCTGGAGAAGATCAATCCAAATCGCAAGAATTTCTCGAACGAATCGCAGCACAATGTACCCCTATAATGAACAAACATCATCTCTCCGTTGCATCTCTCGAAGAATATCCCCCTAATTTAGAATTCTGGGGTAAGGCTCTACTTTTCTTCTTAGCTCCTTGTGTAAATGCTAAATTCGATATCTAGGTCGCAATTTCAATAACGGAGAAGTAATCCAACTTGTTCTTAAATCTCCTTCAACAGGAAGATGGCTACCATTTAAATTTGTTCAAATGGTCATGATGCATGAATTAGCGCATTGCAAACAGATGAATCATTCTAGGGCGTTTTGGAAAGTTCGAAATGAGTATTCGGCTGAGATGAGGGGACTTTGGGAGAGGGGATATACGGGTGATGGACTTTGGGGGCAGGGGGTATTGTTGAAAGGTGGTGCGTTCATGAGAGACCGGTTGGGTGAAGGGGAGGTATTACCGGAACATTTGTGTGGTGGGACTTTTAGATCGAGAGGAGGTGGGAAGAAAAGGAAGGCAAAACCGAAGATTACTTATAAGGAGCAGAAGGAGAGGAGAATTAGGAAGAAGTTTGGTGTCAACGGGTTGGCTTGTGAGTATCGGCAAGTCCTAATCTATTTATACAAAGTGCTAACTCAGGCCACAGTGGGAGAAGACCTTACCACTAAAATCGCCCTCGAAAAAGGCAAAGTTAATCTCTCCAAACCCAAGGTAGCCAATAGCAAGAGAGGAAGAGATCTTCGCGCAGCAGCAGCATTAGCTCGCTTCGAAGTAAAGAAACAAGAACCAGATATCAAAGACGAAGATCTAGTAACCGATAGCGAAGCAGAAAGTGGTGACGACGAAATATACATCAAGCCTGAACCTGATGACGCACTTGATCTTGATGGAAGTAGACTTGTGGATCAAAAAGGAAGAGGGATGGTCAAGGTTTGTGAGGATGAGGATAGGGATAACGAGGATGCGAAGAGGGAGTTTGAGGAGTTGAGGGGTATGGAGAGTATTGAGAGATACTTTAAACCTGATGATAGTGGATCGTCGGATGTTAAGCGCGAATCGGAAGAAGTGAACACGGCTGAGTTATCAAAATCACAGAAACGCTCTCAAAACAAAAATACCGAGAAGAACACCTCAGTCAAAAAAGAACTACTTTCCACCTCCACATCCGCCTCTCTACTCAAAACCAAAGCATCTACACCACAGCCCACATCACCAACAACCATAGGCTCCTCCCCACCAACCTCCCTAACCTGCCCAATCTGCTCCTTCGAAAACCCACCCCCCTCACTCACCTGTACAATCTGCGCCCATGTCCTCCATCCGGAACATATACATGGATCGTGGAAATGTACTAGTACAGGTTGTAAAGAGGGATTGTATATTAATGCGGGAGATGTGGTATATTGTGGGATTTGTGGGGTGAGGAGGTGTGTGTGAAGGGGTATTGAGAATTTTTGATGAGGGTTTGGGGTTTTGGTTTTGGTTTTGGGTGTTTGGATTTATTTTTTTGAAGAGGGGTTGGGGTTTGGTATGATGGAAGGGATTGGTTAGTTTTATATGATTGAGATGAGGGTATCAATATTGGGTGGGAGTTACATGGTTTGAGATGAGCTATTATGTGGAATATGATATTTGAGAGTAGAATATTTGTGAGGGTTAGGATAGAGTTATATATGAGCAAAGTATTATAGGAATGCTTCTTGCCGTTGTATGTACATACCATACCGTTACGATATCAATAAATGTACAAATAACATCAAAATAATCCATCCACAAGTCTACCCACAATTTTCTTCATCCCCAAAAAGTATACACATACACATACCCACACCCTTCCCTCCGTCTCTCTTTTACCTATCCCTCTCTCCCTGTCATTCCCCAGCCCAACCCATTCCAACCCAACCCAAGCAACCCAACCCCCTACCTCCTCCTCCCCACCCCCGCACCCGCACCCCCACCCGCACCCTCCCCCTTCTCCCCCAACACAACCACCTCCCCAATCCCACTCATCTCCAACTCATCCTCCAACTCTAAAACCTCCTCTCTACAATCCCACCACTTCTCCTCACTCATCTCAAAGGCCTTTGTTTTAATTTCCTTCACACCTAATGATTCCGGTTGGATCCCCTTCCATCTAAGATTCATCATTAATGCTTCTTGCCATTCATTTCCTGTTCTTTGGAAGAAATCGCGACGAGATTCGAAGGGGCGGGGGTGGGGGAGTTGGTCTTGGGGTTCTGGTGAGAGTTGTGAGATACTGGTGGTGGTGGTGTCGGGGGTGTCGTCGAAGGTTGTTGTTGTGAAGGGGGTTGTGGGGATGGAGGTGGAGGGGGTGTTGGATTCTTTGTTTTTGTGTTTGGATTTTCGCGTGCTTTCTGTGTGGAGGTGGTTGGGTTTATTTTCTATTTTGGTGTTTTCTTCTTCGTTTTCTTCTTCCTCCTCCCCCTCGTCGTCGTCGTCGTCTTCGTCGTATTCTTCGTCATCTTCGTCATCCTCACTATCCTCTTCACTTCCTAACCAATTCTCTGGTTCGCGTCCGAAAATCTCCTTCACTCCATCCATTTTACCTAAATCAATAGCGTACATATCATCGAATGTAAATTCCCTATCGCCTTTTTCATATGTACCTCCATAGATATAGAGAACATCATCTTGAACAGCTAATTGCGCATTAAATCTCACATGTGGAAATTCCATGAGGATTTGTTTGGCGGGTAATGCATCTGCGTCTTCATCATCTTGTTTCGTCTCAATTTCCATCTCGTCTGCATCGGCTAAACTTTTTCCAGTTTCAAGCGCTGCTAGATTTCGTAATAATTCCTCTTCATTTGCTTGTCCTCTTCCTCTTCTCCCTCCTCTCTCATTTCCACCATTATTCTTCTTTTGAACCCTTGGTTTGCGGAGAGCAAGGGGGAAGTAACGATTTCGTTCTATATTCCACGCAAAAAGTGTGTTAAAGAACTCGCTATCGATTCCCTCTTCAGACTCTTCAACATCATGTACACCACCAAACTGAATACCACGTCCTTTGTGGTACGCCATTGTAGCACCTGCACGAGGAGGATTCGGAGCATTAACAGGCTTTTTCCTACGTTCCCAGCGAATAGTGGGGGGAGTCGGTGTTGATGTATCAGCTGGTTGGATGATTCGGAGAAAAAAACAATCTTGATGGACCATGGGTTTTAGTACATTCCTCATGGCCATCCCACCACCTTTCATTTGTTTGCCTGTCACATTTGTCTTGATTCTGGAATAGCCTCCGTACAATACAGCACCGCTTTCATGAGGGAGAAAGGTGAATGAAGAACGGGGATCGGGCTTTTGCATTACGGTTGGAAGAACAGGGTTGTGCCAGATGAAGTTGGATGTATCGTAGATCCAGAGATCGGAAAGATATTTAGTGGCTTGTGATGTATCTTGGAAACCTCCAAATAGAATGATGTAGTTTTTGTAGTAAGTCATGCGGTGACCGCTACGAGCTGGAGGGGTTTTACCTTTGGTTTCTAGACGGGTCCATTCACGTTCGGAGGGGTTGAGATGCCAGAAATCCTGTATAAAGTGTTAATATATTTCCAGGTATCCACTATCCTCATCCGTTGGTTGAAAGTAGATGTAATGGAAAGAAAACTTACATTATAATGATAAAAAGTCCCCTGTTTTGGACTCGAAAACTCCCCTCCAAACAAATAAATCCCACCCGCATTTCCACCTCTACACCACGCATGTCCAGATCTCGGCAAAGGAGCATTCGGACTAGTCACCACATGCCACTCATCCTTATTAATAGCATAAATATACAAATCATTAAAGAAAGTTGCCAAAGCACCATTAAAATACTCGCCCCCGAACAAGAACAGCTCATTCGCATTACTAGGACTAGCAATCAGAGTGGAAGAAGCTCTTGGTCTAGGAGCATCACAAGTCACTTCAGTGATTTTCAAAAATGATTCTTGGGCTTTGGCATATTCGGCCAGAACGGAATCGAGGTCGATGGATTCATTGTCGGAGTCGTCGGCGGATTTGGATTTTTGGGCTTTGGATTTTTCTTTTTTGTCGGCTTTCTTTTCTTGTTTTTGTTTCTTCTCGGCTAGCTTCTTCTTTTTGTCTTCGGATTTGGACTTCTTATCTTTAGCCATCTTGGATAGTTGGAGAGGAAGTGAAGGAGTAGGTGGGAGAGTGTAGGGTGTGGAAGTATCACGTGACTGATGAGAATAGAGTTAGCATCTTATAGATATAGTGCGTGTATTTGTATGAAGTAGATGATGTTGATTCTCTATCATTTTTAGATGCCATTTCTTAGGGTGCTTGGAGCCCTATGTGCGCTTTTGTGTGTTTTTCCATACAGCCAGTGAATGGAAGATTTTGCAAGCACGAGACCTGCAAAAACGAACTTTCATTTTTTCAAAGACCATCGAACGAGCATAATACTGCAACTCCACCCATTCCTTCATCTCAAATGTGTCTGTACAGAAGAGGCAGTACTGAAAATCACATACCTTTAAATTTTGGTCAATTGATCCCAATCAACTTTTTCTTTGACAAAGATGTTTACTCTGTATACCTTGGTGGGGTGGATTTATGTGGCTTGCACAAATCTGCACCTGCATCCACCCTTGTGAGGCCCCACGTTTGAGCGGCTGTCCTCCAAACATACGATGATTACCTAGTATATCTTCATGTAAGTTACATGTGAAGATCCACCACTTTCTAAGCCGATAACACTCGCTATATATAAAAGCATTGTGCATTCTCTATATGTATCAAGTTACTATACCTATTATACCTGGATAGTCTTACTATCTCATTCTTTTCTATCTGCTGTTCATTGCTTATCTTCTTTTGAGCCTGAGATATCACATTGAACATCTCTCAGTCGGTGGCTCATCGTCTGCCAGCAATTATATACCTACTTGGATTTGAGTTTTTCAATATATGAGAATCACTTTTTCTCAATATACCTCTCCAGCTCTCACCTCTTATGCTCAACCTCAACAAACAACTTTTTAAATTGTTCAGGACAACGCCACGCTCAACCCTACCTACCAAAATGTCTATATCTCAGCTTGTGGACACGAAAACACATTTGATACCTGGTAAGATAGTATTTCTTTTTTGAAATTTTTTATCTGCTTCATAGTTGTACTTTTTCTTCTTCTATCTCATTGCCAATTTGTTCTTACCTGCCTCAATTGAGCTCAGTCTAGGTCAATCCGTGAGGATAGCTAGGTTTCTTGTCTGGACTTTTGATCTTTTTTTTCTCTGCCTTCTTACTCAAAAATAAGAAATAGAGTTAACATACCTACAGGAAAACTTAAGGTCTCGGAGTTATTCTTTGAAGTTCCTTTAGAGTGAGTAATCCCCAAAGATTCCTTCATGCTCTAAGCAGCAGCATTTGGTATCTCTCCTTGAGACAAGAGGCTGATTCGAATTTATCTAGCTATTCAAACGAATCAAAAGGTTCAATCCGAATCTTTGCTCGCAGCGTGATCAGACATGAGAATCCAGCAGCAAAATCCACTGAAGAAGAAATCCGCAAATCTTCCCAAAAGCCCTGGTTTGTCTACCTTCAAGGTGGGCCAGGTTTTGGATGCAGACCTCCTCAAGATGCTCCAATTACCAATGTAGTTCTTGATAAAGGTTATCAGATGCTGTATATTGATCAACGTGGTACTGGATTGAGTAATCCTATCTCGGCTGCTACTTTGGCCTTTACAGGGTGATGCTCATCGTCAAGCGGACTATCTTAAGCATTTCAGAGCTGATAATATTGTGAGGGATTGTGAGGCTATAAGAAAGATTCTTACTACTGATTATCCTGAAGAACTTAAAAAGTATGTGATGTATTCGTCTCTTCCCACATTCTCCTGTTTCGAGGTTTTTTCTTCCATGATTCCTAGCCTTCCGCCTCTGAATATACAGCCATTTCCTCTCGATATCCTGAATCCACACTACAAGTCCGAATAAACATCCACTAACATGTCCAGATGGTCCGTCTTCGGCCAATCCTTCGGTGGTTTTTGCGTCCTCACTTATCTCTCATTCCACCACCAAGGCCTCCGCGAAGTCTTCACCAGCGGTGGTCTCGCCCCAGTCGGCCACTCAGCCGATCGAGTCTACCGCGCCACCTTCCAGAAAGTAATTGAGCGAAACCGAGCCTACTATCAAAAGTTCCCTGAAGATGTCGCTGTAATTCAAGGACTGGCTATTCATATTAGCGCCAAGAATGGACTTCAAATGCCATCGGGTGGTACGTTGACTGTGAGAATGTTCTTAACTATGGGGATTAACTTTGGTTTCCATGGGGGACTGGATATGGTTCATGATATTGTGTTGAGGATGAGTTCCGATTTGGATCAATTTTCTTTCGTTACTAAACCTACTCTTAAGGCTATTGAGGATATGGTCAGGTGAGCGAAATCCGTTTTACTTTTTCACATCTCTTTTCCCTCTTATGATAGTTCTCCGTCCCTCGCCCATCCTCGCAATTCCATTTCCATCGGAGAACCTACTGACACCCAATCCGTCACAGTATGGATAACAACGTTAATCTACGCCATACTCCACGAATCCCATCTACTGCCAAAGACAAAAGCCTCCGTCTGGGCGACCGACAGAGTAAAGTTCCCCACACCCCTCCTCATCCACACACAAACCCTAATCCCCCTCCACAGGTCGAGCAAAACCCTCTCAGAATACAAATGGCTTTCCGGGCGGCCCCGCTCTCCCACCTCCATAATCAGCGAACCCCTCTACTTCTCCGGCGAAATGATCTACCCCTTCATGTTCGAAACATCCCCAGAACTCTCCTCCATCTACCCCGCCGCAAAGCTCCTCGCCGAATACACCGACTGGCCACCCTTATACGACGAGTGGCAATTAGCACGTAATGAGGTACCTATGTATGCGGCTACTTATGTAGATGATATGTATGTGGATTTTGGGCTCGCGCAGGAGACGGTCAGGTTGGTGAGGGGTTGTAAACAGTGGGTTACTAATGGGATGTATCATGATGCGGTGAGGAGTCGGACGGGGGAGATGATGGGGGAGTTGTTTGGGTTGAGGGATGATGTTGTTGATTGAGTGAGTTGGGTGGGGAGGGGGGAGGGAGTGGAAGGGAGGAGCGAGAAGGAACGTGGAAGTTGATGACAAACGAAGTATTACGAGCATGACAGACAAACAGAAAGCGATTTTTGACCATGACCATGACCATGAGATGAAATGAAAATAGACAATAACCTCTACTAGCAAATAAGCCAATGATTTTGACTTTTCTTCCACAACAAAGATAAACTCTCCCTTCCTAGATCCACCAGGTCTCTCTCTTCTTCACTCTCATCATACAAATCTAAAACATAATATCAGATAGATGGATGGGATGACATTAACTACCAATCTATAACTACCTAGTATACATGTATATATACCAAATTCAAAGTCAAAGTCAAACTCAAAATCGAAAAAGATAATTCACATCTACCTACCAACCTAGCTAGCTATATGGGCAATGATAGATTTCTCTTGCAGGAAGGGTCACAGGTTGAGATAGGTAAGATTTTTGTATGTAATATTACTATTACTAGGTATG